TTTCTCCTACATCTTTCCATAACCCTATTTCCATTTTAAAATGAAAAATATAAAGAAAACATTTAATTATGGAATTTTATTTTACAGCAAATTTGCTTGGAGTGTGTCCCTTTATGAATTGGAGGAATACATGTAAACCAGTAAAGCTAAGGAAAAAGGCAACCATAGAATACAGCAGGAGAGAGCACCACTTTCAGAGAAAAAAAGGTTTTACTGTGGAAAAACTGAAAGCATGTTAACATTGGAATAGACTTGAGATATCATTGAGATTGTTAGCCCCTTATTTTTTTCTGGTGTGATAATTGGGATGTAGAGGGAGCAAATAATTTGCCAGCATTACACAAATACTAGGAATAGAATCAGAACTAGAACTTCATCTCTTCACTCCATAACTCTTCATGGTATCAAAGACAGATCCAGACTTTTGTGTGGATTTTTGGCTCTTTTCCACTGGTGTTACGCAGTTACTGTGATGCATGTCTGGAGTTGCTGAAGTGGTTACCAGGTAAGAGTGGGCAGAGGGAGGGGGAAAATATGTTCACGGAGAAAGCCTGCTTTAGAGTGAAACCATTTGAGAGTGGAAAACACAGGCAGAGACAGAGACCAGGATCTGAGGGCATCATCTGACCCCTGCAATAAACTGTGCTTGAAGCTAATGCTACCACTTGGACGTCTTAGTTATGCAAGCAGTTTATTTCCATTTTGTTTAAAGCAGTTTGTATTAGGTTTTCTGTCACTCGCAACCAAGACTCCTGAATGTGCCAAGCTTCTTACTTTTGCAAGGTCAATGGTACTTATTTATTTATTTTTAATGTGGTTTCATTTTGGGAAAGATTAAAAATTAGGCAATTCATCAGGACTGGATTTAGGACGTGGTTAACTAAGGATGGAAAATCATATGGGTAACTTCTCAACTTTCATTGCTTTCCCCAGAAAACTTTAGCTCCTAAGTTATTGGTATAATTGTTTTTTTCACTACTGAGTTCTCCTTTGCATTATTTATTTATTTAAATATTTTATTGTGTTTAAGGTGAATCCACTGTATTCTTGAAAGGATAACTTATTTCAAAGAGATTGCTAAGAAATGTTGTTATATTGGTATAAAAGAAATGCAGGTTCTGTATCGTTTAACATAACAATGTCCTCTGAGTCTTGAGAGGCAGAGTAAACCAAAAACCAAAACCAAACTCACTGCTATCAAGTCGATTCTGACTCAAAGTGACCCCTATTGGGTTTTCAAGGCAGCAAATCTTCACAGAAGTAGATTGCCACATCTTCCTCCCGCAGAGTGGCTGGTGGGTTTGAACTGCCAACCTTCTGGTTAGCAGTCAAATGTCTTAGGCACTGCACCACAAGAGCTCCTTAGAGGCAGACACTGTATATGTACTTTGCCTTTATGCACATCATCTCATGTCTAATCCATAGTAACTCTGCAAGTATTCTCACATCTGTAATACAGTTGAACTAGAGACGCAGAGGATATGGCTCTTGCCCAAAGTCACCCAACTGGCAGTAGGATCTGAACTCATCTATACTCTTGCTTTTGTGCTAGAAGTATTTGCATTCCCCCAGAACCCAGTCCTGATAAATTTCCTAGGAACTTCAAAACATGGTACTTTCTATAAAGATGTTTTAACCTGCTTTTCATTGAGATGATGAACAATATGATGAATATAATGTCACTAAATTGTACACCTGAAGACTGTTGAAATGGCAAGTGTTTTATTATATTTTTTTACCATAGAAAAATGAAAAAAAGAATTCCACGAGGGAAGCATAGTGTATTGAAAGAATATAAAAAATGCAGTTATCCAATACAGACATGACAGGTAGAGAGCTAGTATTGGCTAGTTCCTCTTCTTCCCAACTCCCTTCTCAATCTTTTTTACCCATTTTTTTTTTTCTGTTTGTAGTATAACATACACAAAATGTGTCCAATGCATTGATTTTAAGTGTACAGCTTAATGATTTTTAAAAAAATGTTTGTATTCATGAATCTTTACTTAGATTAAGACAGAACACATCTGGCACTCCAGAAGTTTCCTTTGTGTCTCTTCTCAGTATCTAGTCCCACCCAGAGGTAACCACTAGTGAGACTTCAGTAACTGTCACATAGTTTTGTCGGTTGTTGGACTTATTAATGGAATCATCCTCTCTTTCCCCATTGCTGTCGACTCAAGGCAACCTCATGTGTTAGAGTCAAACTGCTCCATAGGGTTTTCGTGGCTGTAATCTTTATGAAGCAGATTGCCAGGTCTTTCTTCTCAGGGCCACTGGATTTGAATCACCAGCCTTCTTCTGGTTAGTGGTCAAGCACAAACCATCCATGCAGGGGCCAATGGAATTGTACAGCATGCATTTTTGTATCTGGCTTCTTTCACTCAACATGACATTTGTTGAGATTCATCCTCGTTTGAGTCAAATTTATTTTTTTTATTGCAGTGTTGTAGTCCATTGCTCTTTCTTAATGCATTTTTCATATATTTAATTTTGTCAAGTTTCATTTCATAGACTGAGTGAAAAGGGGCCTTAGGGATTATTCAGCCTAATTCAGCTTCTACTTTATCAAGAAAACAGGAAGCCCAAGGAGAATATCTTTCCCAGTCAAGGTAGACCACAAAGGTCTCCTCACTGCCAGTCCAGGTCTCACCAATTCCATTCCCTTCTAACTTACACTTTTACAAATATCACTTGGCTTATGTTTTCAGAAGTGTTTACAGGGTATGTTAAATATTTACCCAAAAGTATAATGGAGAGGAGAGAGCAGCTGGTTGAAATCAGTGGTTTATCTTATGGAAGGTCCATCAGTTTTAGCCTGACAATTTCTAGCAACAAGCAGGACCTCTGCAAACCTTGCAACTAAGCAACATGTTTAGATTTGAAAAAGGTCCCTGGATATTCTGAACAGCCCTGGCATCACAGGCCCCAACCCCCACTTAAAGCACAAGCCACTTGAATACTTCCAATTTTTCTGCTTTGCAAGGTTTCATGTCCTCCTATCAACTCTGACACATGGCCTAAGCCAGTCACATCCTGAGTTTCCACATGCCTTTTGATTAATTTCATGTCAGGTGGTGGTTTAGAAAGGAGAGGCCAAGGCAAGCTCCCTCCATTCTGAATGGAATCACAGCAGCCTGAAATGAGCCCAGCTGGAGAACTCTTCGTAATCCAAATAGACTTAATAGGCAGGAAACTAAACTTTGGGATAGAAGTGGGTTAAATATCAGCTAGTGGTGGGCTTGGCCACAGCTATTCCAAAGAGAATGCCCTTTCTGCTTATTTCAGTGTTTATCATTCTGTTCTGAAAACTCAAGTTCTCAGCTGTGTTTAGACAATAAAGCTCATGGAAGTTGTGGTGCTTACTTTCTCCGCCACGTGGGAAAGTACCTTCAATCTAGTTTTTAGTAAGATACTATCCAGCTACATCACATTACAATGAAAAACAAGTGTGGTCTGAGACAAAAAAAAATTGATTTGACTATAACCGAGGGACAGAAAATGATCAAAATCCTTGTTTCTCATTATGGTTCACAGACCAACAGCATCACCAGGGAGCCTATTAGGAATATCAACCCCAGGCCCACTGAGTCAGAATGGGCATTTTAATAAGACCCCCAAGAGATTTGTATGCAGAGGGTAGTTTGAGAAGTATTGCCCCAAGATCATTCAGATAAAGAAATTAGAGCTCCAAGAAAAGTGGATTGCCCAGGTGAGGTACAGTTTGACATCAAGTATGTGTGTAGGGGAGGGAGAACAGGGGTCAAAAGACATGGTTTGAAACCATCTCCCTGCTGGATTTGCTGATTCTGTCCGAGTGTCTCCAGCTTGGACAGGAGTGGGCACACAGTACACGCTACTCCATAGTTACCATGTCACGTTGACCCAGCACAGCAAGTGTGGAGTAAAAAATTCACTTCCAGTGGCACACGGCCATTTCAACCACACTTCACAAACCACCAGCCCCCAACTCCCTGGGTGTTGTTAACTAAGAGATGAGGGTGTCTTCATCAGTATGCTTCTTTCTAAAAACGCCCAAGGGCTACAATAATGAAGAAATAATTTCATGGACTATATGGGCTAACTTCAACCAACCAACAAAAGACCCACGACAAAACAAAACAAAAACCCCAACACCATCCCTAAACCCTTTTAGTTGTAGAATTCATATACATTCAAGAGATTTCACAATGCTAATTCTATTCTTTTATTTCCTCATAGCACAGTTTATCTGCTTTTTTACATCCTGATTTATACAAACTGCAAATGAAAAACAGGCATTTTTAATCGTCCAAAATGCATCTATGAAATGTAGCACAAACCCGAGAATTTAAACTTAAAACAGGTTTAACTGAAGCAGCTTTACTGCAATCTCTTAAAAGCAGCATTACAGCTTAAATATTTATGCCTGTAAATAATCTGCATAATCTACAATACATAGTTATTTTAGAAGCAGTTGAGTTATAATTGGAAAAAACAAAACAAAGACTTCATTGCAAAGTTATGACAACAATTATTTGAAACTTAAATTATTTACAATTAAACAATTAGGGTCCTGATTCACAAAACTTAGTGCATTTCATGATTTATTTATGAGTTTTACAGAGAAGCAAGCAGAATACTCCCTAGCTAAAATCTGGAGTGAATGGCTTTTAGAAGAAGTCTGTCAATATGCTTACTGGAAACTGAGGAAAAAGTAACAGAAGAAAACTTCAGCAACTGCATTTGTTTTGCAAATTTAAGTATACAGAGCAATCAGAATAAAAGGCGCACAATAGAACTGATGTCTTTTTTGACAGACTCTTGATACGTACAGCAAGAAAAACGATTCTCACCTTTTTTCAGTTAAAGAAAAAAAAATCACTCTCAATAATCAGTACATGTGAACTCAAGTGATAGTCTCCTTTCTTCCTACAGAGTTGTCTTGAGACTTATTATAATGCCTGAATCAGCAAATTTAAATAAGACTACAGAGGAGGAAAGTCTCTTGTACAACCACCATCAGTTCAGCAGGTTTTATTTAGTGGTGAAGGCTTGGGGCAGAGTGACCAAGTGGCTAGCTATTCCCACTGTAGAAGAAACATAGATAAGGTGCTAAAAATCCAAGATTATCCTTGAAGCACTTCAAAGGCTTATGTGATTTTATGTACACAACAAAGGAGATGACTGCAAAGAAAATAAATGAGAAACTTTTTTTAAAGTGAAATGGTAAATTTCAGTGAATCAGGTCCCAGGTAGTTATTTAGAAGAACAAAACTTTACAGTAAACATTTTAAGCTCTGGAATGCAAGTATAGTACAATGACCAGTACGTGACATTTACAAAACTGCTGAGACAGTTTTTCCAGAGTAAGACTTAAAAAATGTACAAGCTAGTTCACAATGCTTTTAGATACAATGTTATTAAAATACATTGTTAATCATAAAAATACTTTATTATGTACATGTACACTGTATAAACTCTGGATTTATCTAACTGAAGAAAGCCACTAAATTAATTTCTGGCCCAGGAAAGAGTGAAGTTCTATTATTTGGTCTTCATACCACACCATGGACTGAGAGTCATGGTACTGCAGTTAGTTTTTCAATAAAACAGTTAATGGAGTTTTCTTCTTACTGTAGAACGTCTAGTTGGAAGAATCAGTTTTACTTCCACTATATTTTACTTTCCTAAATGATGATCCAAGTAACTCTGGGCATTCACATAATTCATTTGCAATTTGGTTACACTTCAAAATAAGGCTATAGTTCATTTCATCAGTTATGATACTGTCTTGCTTGTAATCGGGATGGTTTGCGATAAACACCCTCATCCATCTGGCAACTGTCATTAGTTCTCCTGGAAAAAAAAATAAGTTGACATTTAATGGCCAGCACAAACACAACTTTCAACAAAAACCAATATGACCTCTTAGTGTAGCCACACGGCAAGGTTTGGGAGCACATCTTCCACAGTGTTTCAAGAATTCTTCCTGGAAAAGAATTTTTAGGCTGCAGCAGGCAATTAGAATACATTCAACCAGCTGCTATGATACCTGGTTAGATGCTACCACATGCTGACAATGCCAGCTTTTAAGAGACAGAAGCTGGCCTATGTGTACAAGAGCACACGTGCTCCCTTTTAGCTACAGCAGTCATGTAGACTGCTGGCGCTGTGAGATTGCTTCAGAAGGCTGCAGGGTCCTGAGTTCCCTAGACTGATCTTGATCAAGTAGGTGGACAGAATAAAGAAGCAGAGCAAATGAAGAGGGAAATTGGCAGAAACGCCATTTGGAAGGTGACAGGTCTACAGTCATCCTTTTGTAACTCCAGAAAGTTTAAGAAGCATTAAGTAAACTATAGATACTGTTATCATTACTATTACTTTTCTTTCTAAACACTTTTTATTGTAGTTTACAGAGCAAATTAGTTTTCATTCAACAGTTTACATATATTTTGTTTCATGACATTGGTTGCAATCCCCCCTCAATGTAACAGCACACTTCCCACTACCTCCCTGGGTTCCCCATTTCCATTTGCCCTTCCTCTCCTGTCTTCTGAGCTTTGTTTTTGGGCAGATGCTGCCCTTTTGGTGTCCTATGGTTGATTGGACTGAGGAATAAATTCCTCCCTGCTGTTGTTATTCCCTTTATTGGCCTGTCTATTATTTGCCTGAAAGCTGATCCCTGGGGGTGGTTTCAGTTCCAGACTTGAAGAATGGCTGAGGGCCACAGTCTCAAGGGTTCCACCAGTCTATCATACCAGTAAGTCTGCTCTTTTTTATGATCTTGAATTTTGTTCTACATTCTTCTCCCACTCTGTCCAGGATCTTCTACTGTGATCTTGATCAGAGTGGTCAGTAGTCTTAACCAAGCCCCATCTAGTTCTTCTGGTCTCAGGCTGTGGTTTGCATGGACGATTAGTCCACTGGACTCATTGTTTCCTTGAGTCTTTAATTTTCTTCACTACTCTTTGCTCCAGATGAGTATAGTTAGTTGCATCTTAGATGGCCAGTCTCAAGCTTTCAAGACCCCAGTTGCTACTCACTGAAGCAGGATGCAGAACCTTGTCTCTGCGAACTATGTTGTGCCAATTGACCTAGAAGTCCCAAAACTGTGGTCCTAAGTCCCCACACCCAGTGACTCATTCCCTCAAGGTGTTTGGTTATGGCTAAGAAGTTTTCAGAATTCTGCCCCTGTTGTATTCTACAGTATCTGTGGATGTATTTGCAGCACGTACAAATATATATGTAGAAATATCCTCTGTCAAACATACGTACACTCATGGATGTACTCTCATTCGCCTTCCCATATCTCTTCAGCTTATTTGTTTACATATGTATCTATTCGTAGATATTGTTTGTTATTACTATTATTGCAGGACTGTGTATATAACAGTACCTGTTATCTTTTACCCTTTTTTTTTCATTAACAGTGAACAGTTACTTTGTACAAGCACTGTATTAGACACTATAAATGTCACCTTGAAAGTCAAAGAAAGGAGTTTTAGTATGTTCACTGTGTGAGGAAGGCAGACTAAAGATCAAAATGTCCTAATTCTACAGCTTTCTTAAGCTACAAAATTACTTCCCCCTATATTAAAAAGCCAAAGATGATATACAATGAACACAGGTAAACATAAATGACAGACAATTCAGATATTGGATTTCACTAAGATGCCATCAATTATAAGATGCACCACTATTTTATAAATCAGTGAAGGAAAAAAAACAAACAAAACAACCATAAACTGAGACTGTCAAAGATTATAAGGTATATACAATTGCACAGAAGTTACAGTGTGAAAACATGTGTGTTAAAAAACCTAGTATACTTTCAAAGACTACTTTAAGAAGCTGACTATGAGAGTCCACCTGTAAAATGAAATTAAAAAAAAGGATACTATACCAGATGCTCTCTTCTTAATTAGCTTTAGGTAGTTTAGAATACTACATCTGGTGTCCACATCCACTTCCATGTTTTCAAGGTAAGAGTTTAGAATTGGGATCAGCCCAGGAAATACACCTTCCTACAAGAAGAAGGACACATATTAACTCCCTGCCAGTTGGTGTGAACAGGAGGTGAGCTGGACGGGCACCTACCTTTCCGTTGATGATGGTGTCTATGCTCATTAAGGTGTACTCCTCCTGGGTGAGATCAGTGCTGTTCTGGGCCTTGCCACACCCGTCTACCACAGCATTGCCACCTGCACAGGAGAGGGAAGAAGAGCTTTAGCAGTCTGTAGCAAAAACTGATCCTAGAAATCCAAGAGACTGTAATACCTTTGCAAATGTCTTTCCTGAAATAAAACATTCCCCGCAAGACAGCATCTCGTTTCTGTGCTACTTTCATGTTTTCATCCACCTAAGGGAGAAAAATAATCAGCTATGTCAACATGTAAATTGTAGTGCCTTTCTCCTTCTGCAATTAGGACTTCTGAGCAGTTCTCCTTTCTCTTCCAATGCTTTCTGCTTTCAAGGATCAGCTTTTACTGTTATGTGGGGCCTGTGTCACACTCAACCATGGATCAGTATATGCTTACTTTTAAAAAGCAAAAACTTGTATTTGTGTAGAACATTTGCATTTCTAAGCACTTTTGTGACTGAACCTTGCAATAAGTCTATGGTGTTCAGAGGCCAAGTGGTGTCCCTTTACACAGCATGGTGACTTATCAAAGATTCCAAGGTAATGAACCACATAGCAGGGCTGGAACTCAGTTCTCCTGACAGATCAGTGTCCTACCTACCATGCCACTGGGGTTCCACTTTGGTGAGGAAAGGCAAAGAGTCAATAGGCTACTGATTAGGAATAGGTTGATGGAGGGGTGTGATGACAAGGCCCTTGGTCCTCCAAGGGCACAGAGTCACCAAGTTAATGTTTGCCTGCATGGTGACTCAGGCCATGTCTACTGGGGAAAAGCCCTCATTCATGAGCCTAACCAATGGAAAAATTTGTCCTTGTTTGTGAATTCTTCATTTCTCCAGTGACTTTTTAAGACCCTCACAATAGAGCATTTTTTTTTAGTAGTAATCCTGTCTTCTATGCTGAAATCTTAGGTGGAACCTCAGGATATAAAATGGATGTAAGTTAGAGGCTCAGGTGAAGTGAGATGTGTGGTACAAAGCTGTAGGTACTTAGCATTCCCCCTACTCATTACTTATTATTTATTTTTTCAAAGACACTTATAAAAAAATTTGTTTCTTAGCCTTGACAAGATTTCTGCTCTTACAAATTTCTTTTTAAAAGTGCATTTTATTATTGCTCTTTAGATTCTCAAAGAATCTGACTGCTAAGTTTCATTTATATTCAATCTTTATTTTTTTTATGAAAACACTTAAAACTATGATTTTTCCCCTAAAGAACTGCTTTGCCCCTTGTTTTCCTACATAGTCTACAATTGCAGTTTTTGACTTAATCTTTAAACTAAAACCTATTTGGAAAAAACAAAGTTTAATTCCCAAGTGTTAGATTTCTCTTGAACACCTTTTTGTTGCATTTTGGTGGGAAGGTGACCTGTTGTTAGGATGTCGACTTTTGAGAATTGAAGATTTTCCTTAATTTTTGTAACTCCTCCTCAGGGCATTTAAAAAAAGATATGCTATGGTGACATTTGATATATATAATGTATGCTTACTATTCATGGTGGACATTCCCTGTGGACAGTGAATTAGCAAATACTGAACCAGCCTTGCTTAACCTCAGCTGGGAATGTGTGCATCAGGGAAGCTCAAATTTTTTGCTGCTCTGTGCCAAGTCCATGCCCACAGACGACTGGGGAAGCGCAGCAGGTACTCATTTTGGGGACACAAATACATTTTATTTTATTTTTATTTTTTTTCTTTTATTTAAAAACCAAACTCACTGCTGTTGAGTCAATTTGACTCAGTGACCCCTCCTTGGGTTTCCAAGGCAGTATCACTACAGAAGTAGATTGCCCAATTTTCCTTCTGAGGAGTGGCTGATGGGCTTGAACCACCAACTTTCTGGTTAGCAGTCAAATGCCTTAGGCACTATGCCACCAGAGCTCCCCCACAAATACATTTTAACAAGCAGTAAATATCGGCAAATAATGAGATTTGACTGTAGGGATAGAACAAAGCTTATTAACAATGTTATTTAATTCCCCTATGCCCTTTCTTGTTCTTTGATTATATGACTTGTCAGTTTCTGCATAAGGTGGAAGGCACTTGAAGTGATTTACCTCTATTAATGCCACAGGCCCTCAAAACCCACTAGTCTCCATTCTACAGGCAGAGAGGCACTGAAAAGGTAACTCACCCGAGGTTAAAAAGTTATTAGTACAACTGACTTATGAATTTAGGTTCCACACTAAAGTCTTATCTATACTGCCTTTAAATACTTCTTATGCTTCTAAGAAGTTTTTGTTGTACTTTAATGGTATGAAAAGAACTATGAAAAGAACATTATCTTGAAAGAATATAAAAAATTTCTTTCTCTGTTCCATTTAGTATTTCTACCTCACATTTTATTTTGTCTATTATTTTGTCATTCTTTTATCTTTTTAAAAAAGATTATACTGCCGTTTATTTTCAATATTTGTCTTTTTACATGTCTCATGTAAATAACACATACTATAATGCTGCTATTTTATAATCTGTTTTTTGCTTTTTAATAAGAGTTCATTCTATTCAAATTTGTCTTGTTTTTATCATTTTATGTTCTGTGGATGATGCATCTTACCAATTCCCCCACATCTTCACCCACTTTAATGGCACTAAAGATTTCTTTCTTCCTTTGCCCATCTTTCTTGTCTATCTCTAAAGACTAATTCTCTATGCTTCAGTTTTTTTCATAATTTCCATTTCTTTGTCATCCTGCTTTCCATTCTGGGAGAATTCAGTTTGGTTTTTAAAATCACTAACTTTCATCTTCAACATCTGTTCTACTAATGAGTGTTAAAAAACCGAGTTGCCATTGAGTCGACATGTATGTCAGAGTAGAACCGCTCCAGGGTTTTCAATGGCTGCTTTTTCGGAAGCAAAGCACCAGGTGAGTATATTGTTTTAAAAGTGCAGCTACCCTGTCCTTCATTTATAAGAATTCCTATTCTCCAAATTCTCTGTGGTACGCAGTGCTTGTTTATTTTATGGATGTGATCCTGCTCTAGAATTTGAGGGTACTAATTAGAATTTAAGAACTCTTTCTAGTTTTTTGAAGTGAGTGTGTTTCACTGAGGATAATTTACCCTGTAAGCCCAGCTGAGCCCTTCTCTTCAATACTGTTATTCTCATAATCTGTTGATTTTCAAACATCAAATCATACTTATGAACAAAGGCTTAGACTGGTAGCTTATATGGACTCTCCCTTAGATAGATCTGATCGCCTAGAATTCTATGGGTTAACTTTGCCCTGGGAGTGATGAACAGTCCAGCAGGGGGAGGCAGATAGGTGGGGCATTCTTCAGGGTGGTGGGTGACATAGGCACAGGATGGATCCTCACGGAAGGCGTAGGGAGCCAGGGATCCTGGTGGCAGGTGCTGGGCTAAGCAGGTCTACTCTTTCTCCCATGTTCACTGTGACACTCCACTTCTCCTTTCTCTGGCTTTAAGACCTACCCCTGGGCAGACCCTTCACTGTGTCTAGCAATTTTTCCCAATTACTTTCTGTGCCAAGAGGACCACTGGCCCAGGACCCAAAAGCTCTCACTGACTTAGCCTACTGCCCTGAGGCCTACAGTTGTGCTGCCTCAGCCTGGGTTTTTTTTTTTGAGGCTGTGCTGGGAAAATGACCCCAGAAAGTTTCTATTTTGGTCTTTGTTGGTTGGGGGTCATTAATTTGTTTTTCTTATAGTCCAATATCATCTACCCTCTCCAGCAACAATTCAAGTTTCCACTGAGGAGCACTTTTCCTGCATTCCAGCAGTTGTACTCCCCACTCCTAATTTTAATACTGTAATCACAATGGGGTTTTTTGGTATATGAAATCAACTTGTGGGACTCACTCTTATTATTCCCTTGAACAGAAAGTCTCTAGAAGTAAGGGGTTTTTCAAAGTCAATCCTAAATATCTTTTGAATGGGCTGAGTAAAGATTGACCATTAGCACCTCCCTACCTCCTCTTGCCAGGAGTCTCCACCAATGCAAACCCAAATTCTACAGCATAAACTCAACTTTAAAGGAATAAAGAATAGGGTAGAGGGAGAAGCATTTTGTTCTAAAGAGTGAACAATTTTAAATGAAGTCATATTTGGAGAAAATATTTTATATATATATAAAATATTTACTCCAAATATTTATGAGTAAATATATCTATAAATATCTGTATCCATCACTATAATGAAACACATTCTTACCTTTGACAGTGGAATGAGAAAATCCAATTTGTATGAAAGGATCACTCTGGTAAGCAGTACCACAAACACCACATATGCAGAGTTTTCAAAATCTGTTAATTGAACCTAGACAGGCAGAAGCCCAGAGACGTTACAGACCAACTACACATGAGGTGCTCCTCCCTGACCCAGGCCCCTCAGCTCATGCTCTTATCAGTCCCAAGACATCTCTGAGTCATTCCCTACTCTAAGTCTGGAAGCTCTCTGCTGACACCTATTCTCAGAAGTCAAACTGACAGAGCTTTTGGACCTACTTTTAACACATATTTACTTGATTTTTGCTGCCTCACAATAAACTTAATAACCTTCTGACAGCAGTATCAGAAAGGTGGTAAGCAGAGGAAGGGTTCTTCTGGGTCAGTTCCTACTGATGCCTATATCTTACCTCCATGGGACGAAATTCTACTCTCCATCCAATATCTGAGTTTGGAGGAGGGGGCTTAAATCTCATCGTCTGCCAGTTTGTGGACTGAATATTCTATAGTTAAACAACAACAAAAAAAAAAAGGCAGAGAATAAAATCAATTTTCCACACCTCCAGAAAATATTAAGATGGTTTGGTATTTAATTAAGGAAGACTGTTCACTGTTCAAACACCCTTTATTTTAGAAATATAAAAAGGCACAATTTAAGATTTTCTTGGAGCATGACCTGCTAGGAAAATAAGACAGCAAGCTTTTAACAAAAGTTAGGTACAGCACTGAAATAACTGATTATGCTATTTCATTCAGCATGTTTGAACTTTTTTGCCACTATATGAATAAGGAGGCACTCTGGTGACACTGTTGTCAAGGCATTAGGCTGCTAACAAAAGGGTTGGTGGTTCAAACCCACCAGCCACTCTGCAGGAGAAAGATGAGACAGTCTGCTTCTATAAAGATTTACAGCTTTGTAAACTGTATGGAGGTCACCATGAGTCAGAATTGACTTGATGGCAATGGGTTTCTTTATGCAAACAAGAGAAAATACTGAACAAAAAATGTAGAATCTAAGAGAACCCCTAAGAATCATAAAATGAGGGTACTTTAAAGCAATTTTTAATTTTTCTTTGTTATTTACGATGCTGAGTATTGAAAGGCTTCAGAGATCCCTACTGCCGTGAATTCATCACATCTCAGTTTATGAAGGAAAATGCACTTAAAACAGAGCAGATACCTCAAAATGATCAGACTCATTGGCATCATCTAGGTGTATTTTCTCCTCAAACAGAGTCAGTGGATCTCTAATAAAGAGATGAGCAACATGCTGGGCCAGGAGATGGTCAATGCCTACAAAGACAGATTACATGAGACTTACTTCAAAGTGTGAGATACCACTGTTCTAGAAGCCCAGTAAGAAAACAGGACAGCTCAGGAAGTTTGAAGAAGGGTTATCTAGAAGCTTAGGAAACAGCTGGTTTGTTTGCTACTCTCACCTGACCCAGGATTTTATCCTATGGACATTGGGGAAGTGTAACACTTTTACTCACTACTTACACAATGCCTGTTGGGGCACTGGTGTGGACCTAGATACAGGCCTCCAAAGTAAGTTCCTTTTGCTAAAAGTCAAGAAGATCTCACAAGTATTTGGAACTTGAAACTTTAGGAACAAGCAGCCTCATAAGAAAAGTTAGAGACTTCACACTAAAAACAGAAACCAGACCAGGAGTCAGCAAAAAAGTTTAAAAGAGTTTTGAAGAACTAAAGGCATACAATCAAATCTAGAAAGGAAGACTGGACACTCACCTTCCTGCAATAGTTGTTCATAGATTTCTTTATCTATCGTCAAGTTGATATCATTGTATTTCTCACCACACTCAGATAAGTAACTATCTATTGAATCATAACGGGATTTACTGATCCTGTAGTTATTGTTCTTCAGTGGCTAAAATTAAAAAAAAGAATAATTGCCTTTTAAAGTGATCTGGAAATAAACTAATGCCTCAAATAATTATATTAAAATGCTATATATTTTTATATATAATTATGAAAAAATATCCAACCTTAAAGTAAGATTATGCTACGAAAATAAATGGCAAGGTTAAATGCCAAAATAAACCTATTATGTAAAACAAAGCTCTCAAAATGATTTATCCTAAAGTTTATATTCTATTTAGAAAGCACATTCAGCAGCTTAGCTTATGAACAATCACATAAAGACCAGAGCAATAGTACAGCTCTGACTGGCAACATAATAATGGGGGAGAACGGGTTCCTTTAAAAACACCTATGTCCACCCAGCATTAATAGCAAAGTTCAAAAAAACAGAAAAGATCACATGGCAAGGATTTGGAGAGACTGAAACACTCATGCACTGCTGGTGGGACTGTAAAATGGTATAGCCATTGTGGAAAGTGGTATGGTGCTCCTTAAGAAGCTGGAAAAAGTAATACCATATGATCCAGCAACTCAACTACTAGGTATATATTCTAGGAAAATAAGATCCATGACACAGATATATGTACAGCTGTTCATCACAGCATTATTCACAATAGCAAAATGATGGAAACAACCTAAGTGTCCATAATTGGAAAACGGATAAACTATGGTATACACACACAATGGAGCACTATGTAATGTTAAAAAATGATGATGAATCTGCAAAACACCTCCTAACATGGATGAACAAAGAGGACATCATGCTGAGTGAAATTAGTCAATCACAAAAGTACAATTATTGTATGAGACCACTGCTGTGAAAAGTTAAGAAAAGGTTTACACACAGAAAGATATGCTCTTTGCAGGTTATCAGAGGTGAGAGGCGAAGGGAGGATAAATCACTAACTAGAGGGTAGATATGTAATAACTTGGGTGAAGGGAAAGGTAATATTCCACATGCACAAAATGATCAAGGCAGTGGAAGAAACAGGGAGGAGGACAAGAGTTAAAGGCAACAGAGGTGAATACTATTACACACATGATCCTGCAATAACAATAATAAGATAGGATATACAGAGAGACACAGCTAAATGGCGGCTGTGGGGGGAAGGCAAATAGGACTATTCCCAAGAATATATCTAGGTTTGACCAAGGATATCTCTACCTATATATTTATATATGCTGCAAATATATCCATGAATTGTAATAGAGTATACAGGCGGCAACTTATGAAAACTTCTTAGTCATAACCAAATACCTTGAGGAAATGAGTCACTGGACATGAGGCCTCAGGACCATAGTCACTAAGGTCAGTTGGCATACCATAGCCCACAAAGACAATATTCTACATCCTACTTTGTTGGCTATTGACTAGGGTCTTAAAGCTTGTGAGTGGCCATCTAAGGTGCAACTACTGGTCTCTCCCTGTCCTGAACAAAGGAGAGTAAAGAAAATCAAAGATGCAAGGAAAAAATTAGTCCAAAGGACTAAATGGAGCATGTTAACTCCAGCCTCCATGACCCTGAGACCAGAAGAACTAGATGGTACACCTGGTTACCAATGTTGACTGTTCTGAAATGGATCACAACAGGAGATCCCAGATAGAACGGGAAAAAAATGTGGGAAAAAAACTCAAAATTTTAAAAAAGACAATGCTTAATGGTCTGATTGAATACTGGTGGAACCCCCAGGATTATGGCCTTAAACACCCTTTAAGAAGGGAACTTAACTCAACTTTCAGGCAAATAACAGACAGGCCTATAAGGTAAACAGTGACACTAGGAGGGTATGCACTCATTAGAACAATCAACCATATGAGATCAAGAGGGCAGCATTTGCCCAGGGATAGCGCTAGGAAGGTGAGAGGGAGAAGAGAAGAAAACAAAACAACAACAAACCCCTATGTCAAGGTCCTATTCCTGGAAACAAATATTTATTAGGTTGAGATGGTGTGTGAGTATCTACTTTTAAAGATCTCCATAGGTGGTTCAGATATACACACCCTTGGGTGGAGATATGCAGGACAATTCAATGTAAAAGCAGTAAGAGGTATTAATTAAGCCTAATCTGTGACAATAGATCACATTTTCTACAGCAAAAATCATCACATACAAAGCACTGCAGTAGTGCCAGAAAAGACTTTTGGTAAAAACAGCCATCAGCTCAGATTTCTAAAATACAGAATAATGGCACTAATAATTACAGAAGCTTAAACAAGTACAGATTTCAACAAGTCATAAGGAACAACTTCCCACCCCAACCAAATCACATTTCCCATAAATTCATACCAAAACAAACACTATGAGGCCAAAGACCATAAATGAAAACAGGCTTATAACCTGTGAGCTTCTTTCTCAGGTGTGACTAACCCACTCGATTAAAATTTTAAAGAAATTTCAAGAATGCAAGCAGTTACAATAACCCCTCTTTACCTGCTGGATTTAAAAAGGTATTAAGGAGAAATCATCCCACCTCCAGTCCTCTCTCCTCCCGAGTTCGATCATCAACAGATGCAGAAATCACTCCCCAGCGACAATCAATGTCTGACACATAGCCTCGGTAAAAAGGAGACGCAGCACTCAAAGCCATCTAAAAACAAACAAAAGTCAGTGCCTACAGGTTCAAGTGTGACTTACATGCTGAACAAAAGTTCCATGAAGTTATTTTTCTGGTGAGAAAGATCAGAGTTTATGCAACCCATACAGAGTTAGTGATATTTCATCTTTCACCTGTATTTGCATTTGTATAATGAAATAGACAAGAAACTATGCAAAGGCTTGGATTTGATTCATGAAGATCATCTCTATGAGGTAAGGACATAGAAGATGATATAGGGAATAGAGCCAAATTCAAACTTGACATTTAACACATAAATGTGTTACTAACAACGGTAAACTTCTACAGCATAAACCCTTACTTCATTAGTTCTGAGTCTGCATACTATTTATGTTAGTTCATCTCTGATGAAGTCTTTAACAACTGCACACTGACAGCAAATTTTTTGCACATGTATTTATTTGAAGGAAACAAGTGTTTGAAATAAGATGTAATTTCTACTTACTACAATTGGACAGATTGTAGCCAACTGATCATAAAGGTATCTGGCCTCAGATATGCTGCAAGCTTGGAACGTCACCTGTTAAGAATTATAAGTTACTAACAACAACAATAAAATCATTACCATCCTCCCTACGCAGTGAAGTCTGAGAAGGAAGGCGGTAGGAGAAGAGAAGGGAAAGGTATGGTGATGTGACTTTCTTAACATTTCATGAAGGAGCCCTGTTTAAAAACTGTCTCAGGTGAACCTCTCTAGAAAATGTTATTTAATCATGTTCTAATATAAACAGACAACTAATATAAACAACCATTCTCATCTAAGTTAAACAAGATTAAAATAACACACAAGATATGTGGCAAATTCAGCGAGGTATTTCTTCTTCTACTAGCTTGTACAGCTTCCCACTTTTACTCCAGTTAACTGAAAGTTCATATAGATTTTGGCACAAAAGGGATCTGCAGATGCTAATGATGGGTTTCAGAAAGTTCACTGGTGGCAGTATGAAAACTGCTTGGAAGGGGCCAACACTACAGGAAGGAAAAAATCGAGGCGGGCTGGTGGGAAGCAGCATCTAGAGTCAAAGCAACAAGCTCTGGCGACAAGTAGGCTATATACAGCAGCAAGGGGAAGACTCAGGTTTTGGCTGGGGGTGTTCTAGGATATACAGGAAAAAAAGTTTGAATAAAGGAGGTACCATGATCTGTTGGGTTAACGAAACCAGGGAAAAAACAGACAAAAAAGTCCTATAAGAAGCTGGGTCTCCAGGATGGTGCCCAGAAGAAAATCAGACCTGGAAAAATAATGGGGGGTGGGGAAGTTATGCTCTGATGTTGTCCTGAATTGGTGATCTCCCAGGAAGCATGTGCAGCATAGGGAACTACAACATTTAAGAGCTAGGCAAAGAAACAGATCACATTAGTGATCAGCACAAATATTCCAAAACAATTACCCCCCCCCCAAAAAAACCCAAAAACAGGGCCTGACTCCCTGCGGAGTGAGGAAGGATAAGAGCACAAACTGTGTTTGTGGTAGCACGTTTATAGCATAAACTTTAAATTGGGGACAGTTTTAATTTCTTCTTTTATTGTTATTCAATTATGACAGCTGGAATTTAGTTTCAGTGCAAGAAACAAATTAAGTGGTTTTAAGAAGTGAAATAATAGCAGTTGAGTACGTTGTCCATATGCAGTGTAGTAGATTACATAGTGTGGCTTTTTGTAGCCATAAGTCTTTGTAAACTCCATGGTGGAATTTTCCCTGAGCAACTGAGTAGCTCCTGATTGTTAGAGTTATCCACCTGGGGTATTATTGTTGGGAGAAGCACAAAGTAATTTTCTGGGAAGCTTGCTCTCTCTCAGGTGTATAGAATTCTGATGTTGGGATTGGTTGATTTGCCACTCTGCCAGGCTCAAAAGGAGCCCTCCTAGAGGCAGAAGAAATCTCTGTCAGCTAGGAGGTGCGAAAGACACCCAGAGACACGCACTGCTGGGAGAGACACTGAGAGAGGCTGTGGGCTGAGAGTCAGCAGGCTGAGAGAGACTGAGCATGTTCCTAAACTTGAATTGTGGCCTATTGCTTCCCTAATAAACCCCATTATCTGTGAGTTCTGTGTGGCCACTGCAGTGAATTATCGAACCCAGTAGAGAGGTCATGGGTGCTGTGGGAAGAATGGTTGGTGCCAGGGTTGGTGAAAGGGCTGGAGGGAGGTAGCATATCTGGCTTTGCAGGGATAGACCTTGGGCTGCTGATGGTGATTCTATCTTTCTCTTGTGGGGTCAGAGGTCAGAAGATGTGGCCTCCCTACCCCTTTGGCACCATTACAATCCCAATCTGTTCTAACAGTTTTAAATTTCTTTCAACTTTTTTTTTTTTTTTTTAACAAGCAGACAACTCCTATTGAAGACTTACACTTTCACTTGCCAAATTATAATGGCACTTCAGGTCTAACTATAAAAAACAATTACTTAGACAATTTAATATTGTGATCTTTCTAATTTCCATTTTAATGCTTATGTCTGCAAAATATTTTCTTTAAAATGTAATAATTTTAACTAAACCAAAGCAAAGCCACTCCCACTGAGTCGATTCCAACTCATAGCAACCCCTATAAGACAGAGCAGAACTGCCCCATAGGGTTTCCAAGGCTGTAAATCTTTACAGAAGCAGATTGTCTCATCTTTCTCCCCGTGAAACAGCTGGTGAGTTGGAACCCTAGACCTTCTAATGATTTTTAGCTAGCCATTATAAATTAATTCAACATGGAGAAGAGTTGAGTCTTAGACATCAAGGGAAAAGAGCTTCAAAGGTTAAAACAGATAAATACTATGAGGAACTGGCAGTTAGGTGATAACCAAAGAAAAGACACTTTCTGCAAAAAGGTGGAGACTCAAAAATCATTTGTTGGTCCTGTAAGTTTATGTGAACGATCAGAATTCCCAGGTGTATAGTAGAGCTGACAAGGGGCAAGGTTGTGGTCACTGCTTGGTCACAGCCAGCTACCCAGAGGGACCGAGTAGTTGAACCTGTGGGCTTGGGACCATAGTCGCAGGGGACATCAAGCTCAATTGGCATAACATACTATACAAAATTTTTCCACCTCCTACTTTGGCGAGTAGCAACTGGGATCGTAAAAGCTAGCAAGCTGCCATCTAGATGCAATGATGGGTCTCTCCTTGTCCAGAGCAAAGAAGTATGAAGAAAACCAAAATTCATGGAAACAATTAGTCCTAGCAACTGGTATACCATCCGATCTGCAGCCTATATGACTACGAGACCAGAATAACTAGATGGTGCCCAGCTACCACTGTCATCCACTTGGAAGGGGATCTATGTAGGAGACCCTTGATAAAGAGGGAGAACAATGTGGAACAAAACTCAAAATCATTTGGAGAAAAAAAGGGGGGGGCAGATTTGCTGGTCCGATAGAGGCTGGTGGAACCACTGAGACTATGGCCCCTAGCTGCCCTTCAGGTCTGGAATTGAACCCACACCTGTGGTTTCCAGCCAAAGAAAAGACAGGCATATGAGTTGAATATTTACCTCAAGTAGATATACTCCTGGGAGAGAACAATCATGGGAGAAAGAAGGGCTGCTTATGCACAGGGAGACAGCTCAGGGGTACATGGAGGAATGGACATAGGGAAAAGGGAACTATGGGGAAGAAGTGGGAGAGGAGCTGTTGCATTGTGGTAAACTGTGGTCAATGTCATGAGACAAAGTGTATGTGAACTGCTGTATGGAAAGTGAATTTGCTCTGTAAATCTTCACCCAAATCACAATAAAAAAAAAAATAATAATATTTAAAAAAAAACCATTTGTGGATGTCAAGGATTAAATGAGAAGTGAGAAAATGGAGATGGCAAGCAAAGTTTATTTATAAACTTATTTGTTGTGACCCCATCACTAAACTGTAAACTCCATAAGGACAGGGATCTGTCTCACCATTCTCTATCCTGAGAACCCAGAACAATATCTGGCATCCAGTTGAGTTCATCTAATAAATGAACAAGAGCATCTTGGAGGAAAGATGGTGCTAAACACACAGAGGCAAAGGCAAAATTTGTATTTTTAAAGGTGGTGAGATACTAGAAAAACTGATCTAAAGGTCAAATTTCCATGGGATGAGAATTATTGTTAGTTGCTGTCGAGTCAAATCCAATTCATAATGACCTCCTCATGTGTGTAAAGCAGAACTGCTCCATAGGATTTTCAAGGCTGTGACCTTTTGGAAGCATATCACCAGACCTGTCTTTGGAAGTGCCTCTAGGTGGATTCAAATCTCCAACCTTTTGGCTAGTAGTCAAGTGCTCAACTATTTGTGCTACCCAGGGTGAGATCAGAAATATCTAAATGTTCCCCAAGTATTCACTGATGCATATATTGTTTTAACTATGCACCTCATAGTTTATTTAGGTTCTTTTTGTGGCTACTTTTAGGGATCATAGTGTATGTTATTTTTGTTTTTTTAAAAAGATATTGAACTCCTTTGAGTTCATGTGGTTGGTTTTTCTAGGGAGTTCATATCTCCCTGGTGTTATTATTTACCTTATAGGCCTGTCTATTGTTTAGCTCAAAGTTGAGTCATGGAGGTGAGTTTGGTTTAGGCTTGAAGGGTATCTAAGGGCCATAGTCTCAGGGGTTCCACCAGTCTATATCAGATCAGTAAGCCTGGTCTTTTTTATGAGTCATTTGATTTCCTGACTGCTGCTTCCATGGGCATCGATAGTGGATCCAAGTTAAATGAAATATTTAACAACTTCAATTTTTTCTCCATTTTTCATGATGTTGTTTATTGGTCCAGTTGTGAGGATTTTCTGTTTTCTTTTTGTTAAGGTATAATCCATAATGAAGGCTGTAGTCTTTGATCTTCATCAGTTAAGTGCTTCAAATCATCTTCACTTTCAGCAAGCAAAGTTGTGTTGCATGCATATCACAGGTTGTTAATGAGTTTTCCTCCAGTCCTGACACTGTGTTCTTCTTCATATAGTACAACTTCTCAGATTATTTGCTCAGCACACAGACTGAAAAAGTATGGTGAAAGGATACAACCCTGATGCACACTTTCCTGATTTTAAACCATATAATATCCCTTTGTTCTCTTTTAATGATTGCCTCTTGGTCTATCTACAGGTTCCTCATGAACACAATTAAGTGTTCTGGAATTCCCACTCTCTGCAGTGTTATCCATAATTTGTATGATCCACACAGCTGAATGCCTTTGCACAGTCAATAAAGCACAGGTAAACATCTTTCTGGTATTCTGCTTTCAGCCAAGGTTCATCTGACATTAGCCATGGTCTATCATTTCACCTCCTCTTCTGAATCTGGCTTGGTAAGATATGTAGCAGATATAGACATACATCACCAGAGATAATGGTTTTTTTTGGGGGGAAGTTCTACACCTGAAGAAGTATGACCATATGAATAATTTTGGCTTCAGGTGTCCTTTTAGAACATCATATAAAAAAAGATGCAGTGTCACAAGGAAACTGATGAGAGGAAAAAAGGAGCGAAAGTTTGAAAAACAGATGTCAGAAACCTCAATATCTAACATTTTCCTAGAACCCAGCTTTGAAGCCATATAATTTTCTTACTTGGGGGGAGGGCCTATCATAACATGATATAACTTGTTGCTTATTAAATCATCCCTGACAAGCTCCAAGACAGTCAAGAATATGAATATAGTTAAAATGTTTTTACTGTGTACTCTGTCTTCTATTAAACCTAACAAAATGACTTACATTTTTTTTTCTGCTTACTGATAAGCAGTTTCTAGTGGTTCATTTAAAGATCGAAAGCAAGGATTTCGGTGGTGATTTGTAGAATTCATCTCATTTGCCACATGTCTTCTATCATCTGTGCTAATGATATTTTAAAGTACAGCACTGAAACTAGAGTGCTGGATATACCTTCAAGAAAGGAAAACTTAATTCTAAGCCCATGACAAAGTTTAAATTGCACAGAAAATTGTATCTAGAGACAATAAAAATGCTTTTGCCCACCATTAGAATACATTTGTTTATATACAGTATTTCAAGGGAAAGAATACCCTGTTGGAACCGTATGAGAGCAGCTGGGCTATCTCTGGCAGAACACTCTGGTTTAATATTAAACAAAGGAAAGGCAATTTTTTCTCTAACAGCATTGATACAATTTTAGAGCCATGTAAGTTCTAGAGCTTAATGGTTCTCTGTAGAAGTATTTGTAATTAAGATAGAAAAACAGATAATGCAGTTAAAAGTCAAAAGGTCTTATCTTTATGAAGTGTGATCATTTGTAAGGAAACTTACTGGCCTATGCTTTTTGGAAGCCACATATTTTATATTATGTATATAAGTCATGAAAAGCAGGAAAAAATTTATCCATGGCCATGTTATTTAAACATACTCAATACAGAAAAACCAGACTCTGGTACTTAATTTTGAATATCTGCCCAGGCATCTTCCAACCACATATATGTCCATAGTCCCGTAAGGTTATAAGAGAGTTCAGAAATCCTGATTGGAGAATGGGATGTAGTGAACGCAACAGCTTCCTACATGTAACACATGTATTTTGTGCCTCTTGTATACAGAGTGATTGCACTGCCAGGAGCATAATGGTACAGTACATATATAACGTATAACACATATGTCTTGATAGTCATAACATCATCTATGATAATGGCTTATTTATATACTGTACTGTATCTGAAAAGTTTACCATGTAAGTGTATACTTTGACTCATAGGCAGCAACATCCAATCTCATATATCACATGTGTCTTGGGTGTTGTAGTGTTATCTGTTTAATTTCCTTTTGAAAACAGTACCATGAAGTGCATCATGGCTCCCAGATGCAGCAAAACTAGTGCTAACGATAGTAGCAGGAAGAGGCAAATGGTAAGTATTGATTTGGAAGTGAAACAAAAAGTTATTAAATGACATGAAGATGGAAAAATTAGTGAATGTTATTGCTCATAAGTTAGGCATGTTGCACTTGACAATCACGAGGATCCTTAAAAACTAAGAAAAAAGTCTCCAACCTGTTAAATGGGCTCCAGTGAAAGCCACAAGGCTAATAAAAATGTGAAGAGGGACCAGATATGGAGAAATTGCTAATGATGTCAACTGAGGTCCAAATACAAAAGTAAATCCCTCTCAGCACATTGTTGGCCATTACTAAGGCATGAAGCTTGTTCGAGATGCTTAAAGAAAAAGCAAGACCAGACTACAATATGGTGTTTGCACAATATCCAAATCACATAATGTCCTTTTTATTGTGAACAATAACAATGCATGACTGTAGTTTTAAAAATAAATCGAAGCAAGGTATGTGTATAAGAAGGTGTGTGTATATGCTGCAGGTATTTTGAGGATGGGAATGCTGAGGTTCTTGGTCTCTATGTTGAGAGTGATTACGCTGGCAGCCCAGGGGGACCCACCTGGTAGGTCAAGCTCAATACTACTATAGGCTTCTAAAGACACTGTTTCTAATCAGCCTTAGTAATTAAAACTGAACAAAAATCTCCTTGGGCAATAACAAGTAGCTGCTTTTTTAAAAAAATGTTTTGCTAAGTCTCCATTTAGTTTATCAATTTCATATAACTATGCTTACATGAAACTATGCTTACATACTTACATGAAAATTTTATATTTTGTGTAACTCCTTCTACTCCTAATGTGACTGTAATCAAATTAAGGGTGAAAAAAGTATTTCTGTTAATAACAACAATGAAATAAATATTAACTTAGAAAATGTAAACCTTTAACTGACGAGGAAAATGAGGCCAAATAAATGAGAGGAATTCCCAAATACCTGAGTAGTAACAGAGTGACAAAGAAACCAAACCAGAATGCTAGCTGTGCCATGCCTGATGGGCCCTGTGTTCTTCTATTCAGGCCCTAAGTGAACTTGGGTATAATCACTGCTCATGCCAGCCTACTCAGAGATAGCAGTAATTTAATCAGATCAAGGAAAATGTCAAGCATGTAAATATAGGGAAAAAACACTATTTCTGTGTAACTAACTAGCTAGGGCCAGGGTGAACATGAGCTGCTAATTATTTTTTTTTGTATCATTAGATGGCCTGCATGAATGTAAAAGTTTTAAGTACAAATAATCCTTCCTTTAGATCACAAAATTATTGAAGGAGATCCATCAGAACTCATTTCCAGAAATAAGAGATTTCAGTAGTACTTATAACCTCAAAGCTAGACTGTCACTAGGTGGCAGTAAAAATTAGGCAAGAAAAAAATAGAAAAGAGAAACCACAACAAAATACTGCACATTTTATGTTAACAACTATAAACTTTTGTGGTTTGTAGATTCTGTAAAATTCTCAGTCAAGAGAGACTGTTCAACGAATTTACTAAAATAACTTCATTGATTTTTAAAAGGCACACCAGCTACTATTTTCAACCTGATTAAAGTATGACTTTAAAAAAAAGGAACCACGTATATAATAAAGAGAAGTCTGCAAATACAAACAAATAAGGATACTTTGTCTCCTTGCATATTTGAAATAATACCTGAAGGCAGCAATTGCCCATTCCAAATCCCATGGCATCCATGTAAATATGATCGGGCTTCGAAGCCCTTGCTGCCTCATCATTCTCAGGAAATACTTCGATAAATGGAGATGGTGTATTCTTGTCTTTAAATACTACATTATTTAGAAAGAAAAAGGAAAAGGTTGAGAGTCAAGGATTAAACAACTCAACGACTATCTATTCCATCCCACCACCTCACCATGAACTTACTTGGTACATTGATGACAACCTTTTCTCCTCTTCTATGTCGGATATTTCTTGTTAAGGTACTAAAATAGATAACCAAATGTCATAAATTGGTCACCTAAGAACCATCAAATAAAAGGAAAATTTAATTATACACAAGTAATTGGAATGAAACCCAATTATCTCAAACTAATTTTATAAGACAACCATATAAAAAATATATGTATATCAAGATACTCCAAGGGAACTATTTAAAAGCAGGTGTTCCATTAATACCACTTACTTGACTCTTGCTTGAGAATGTCATTCTCTCCTTGCTTAACCCTTCTGACTTACCAAATAAAGTTCAGGTGTCCGGGGATCCGTCATGGTCTGGTTTCACTCCATGTTTCTAACATTTCCCATGTTAACTCCAAAGACGTCAGTCAAACTTTGTGTTGTTGCTATTATGTGCCATCAAGTTGGACCCGACTCATAGCGACCCCTCTTGGGTTTCTGAGGTGGTATCACTACGGAAGTAGATTGCCCAACCTTCTTTCTGAGGAGTGGCTGGTGGGTTTGAACCACCAGCCATGTGGTTAGCAGTCAAGTATCTTAGGCAATATGCTACCAGAGCTCCTAGTCAAACTTTGTTGTTGTTGTTATGTGCTGTCGAGTCGGACTTGACTCACAGCAACCCCTCCCTGGGTTTCCGAGGTGTTATCACTATGGAAGCAAATTGCCCAACCTTCCTTCCAAAGAGTGGCTGGTGGGTTTAAACATCCAGCCTTCTGGTTAGCAGTCAAATACACTCACTTTTCCCCAGCATCTCTGAAGCCTCAATGTCTAGTTCCTTCCTCCCCTCAACCTGCAGGACTAATACTTATCCTCTAGACCTGAGCTGTCCAATTCAGAAGCTACCAGCCACACTGTGACTATTAAGTACCTGACATGTGGTTAGTCCTAATTAAAATGTGCTCTAGGCATAAAATACACACTAGATTTTGAAAACCTAGTCAAAAATTAGGTAAAATTCCCTATTAATAATTTTAAAATACTGATTATATATTGAAACAGTAGTATTTTGGATTGGGCTAATATTAAAGTTAAGTTCAACTGCTTTTTATATTTTTTTAATGTGGCTACTAGAAAATTAAAAATTACTCTGTGGTTCCCATTACGTTTCCATTGGATATTACTGCTCTGGACTTAGCTCGAACACCACTTAAGAAGCCTGCTAAGTCAGAAGCACCCTCCTTTCTCCATATAAGGAGGTCTCTGGCATTATCATCATCTGTTCTTGCAGCTCATATCTTTACATTCCCCTTAACACACTGTATCATTTAAAGTTGGGAACTTTGTCTATAAACCTTTGTCTTCCAAAAAAAGACTACACATAGCAGATGTGTATATATATTAAAGGTATGAACATTGGAACATTGAGAAGTCCCAAGGTCCTTAATCTAGGCCAGGAGGCTAGGTTTTTAGGATGACAGGTGAGCACCCAAGGTACAAAGGTAAGATCAGACTGGTTAAGGCCCTTGAGAACTTAAAACCTAAGCATTAAAGTATGAACCAACAGGCCTAGAAAGTTAACAGAACAGAAGGTAGAGCATATCCACTTTATACAAGGTGCTATACACGTTTTACTTTATTGTCAAGGTATACAAAGTAGAATGAGGGTATTATAGATATTAGTGGTCACTTAGAGAAGGGAAAAATCAGGCTGGAATAACTAAGGGAAAGTTTTCCCCCACAAATATATACAGAACTAGGACCAAAAATTATCTGCTCATTAAAAGGCAGGACACTGGCTAAGCTAATGGCTTTGGAATGACCAGGAAAAGAGGTAAGTCAAGCCTGGAGGAAAGATGCAATAACCAAGCCTTGGGGTACTGAGGATGTGATACGTCTGCTATCTACTCTATTTAGGAAAGGAGTCAGAATACATTAAATGCTCAAAAAAGATTCCTGGACAGGAATACTACATTACACTCTCAGAAGGCAAGGATCTGAGCAAGGGGCATCTAAACACAAAACCATACTTACCTAAAGCGGGGGTGCTTGTTAATTGCTTCATCAGGAAAGAAGAGGGACTTGGAAGCTCCTCCTTCAACCGGGTTGGGTTTATATTCAGGCAGCGTGAAACCCGGACAGCCTAATCTACAACAAATTGTAGAACTAAATAGATGGGATTTTTTTTCAGGAATTGTGTCTCACTATCATTGCACCTGTTAAAATACCTCATTTCTATTATTTTCCTTCTTAGAGAATCTAGCACAAATATTACACCCATTTGCAATGACTCCCTTGAACCTTTGATATCTTCCTCATTAAGATTCTCTTTTGTGATTCAAGTCCTTTACTGACTTTATCATATAGTCCCATTCACTCAGTACCTACTGAACACTTACTATATGCTCCCATGTCTAAGTACTGAGGGAAACAGAAATTATTTTCCTTGGTCACAGCAATTATCTCAGGTTACTGATTTTCCTCTACATAGCTTTTAAGGAGTCCTCCTTTACTAACTCTAAATTCTTACGTTACCTTTGACCCCTGTCCATCATCACCATGACCCCTGACTTCCTTGATGGGCATTATTAGAAACTGAAAACAATTAGAATTTGTTTTGGCAGGTCAACTCATGAAGTTATTAAGTAGTATCTCTCCAGGTGAAGTCTGAAACCCAACCCTGTTAATTTACTTGACCTAAAGAAGAGTTTTAATTCCAATACAGAAAAATGAAGCTCCATATTTATTCCTAAATATTTTACTCTCAAATTCCGGATTACTTGCAATGACACTACTAGTCCCTTCCAAGTTAAGAATTTTAAGGTCAATATTAAATGTGCTGTGAGGAAGCACATAAACAAACTAACTTAGTGAAAGCAAAGCAAGGGACGTTCTTGTCAGGGTTTTAGATGGATGACAGGAAACTTTTGGCTTCAAGGCCATAAGTAGCCTTTACCTTATTAAAACTCTAACTTTTATAAAATAAAGCTGGCAGCTTACACTGCCCTTGTAAATAACCACTGAATTTGCTGATCTGGGAAATAATGGCCAGATAGAAAAAGGTTCCTGAGAATTCTTGCACAGTTAAGTGCATTATTTATTGTGAGCCAGCAACCTTAGGAAAGGTTATCTAGGAGACTGCCAAACTTAAATATGAGGGATTCTTAGCTAGCCTGAATCAAATGAAAATGTTTGCTTGACAGGGAAAAGGCAGAGTCAGAACGCAGATCTTCAGATGCCTAGAGCTCTGCTCTCCAGCAGAACTTTCTGCTATGATGGAAATGTTCATCGCATTGTCCAGTGCCAATATGGTAGCCACTAGCCATGTGTAGCTATTGAGTACTTGAAAATGGGACAACTGTGATTTTTTAAGTGATTTTAATTAAACAGCCAGGTGACTACTGTTTCTTGAGACAGGACAGTTTTAAGACTATAGTTTTTATATGTACATCTCTTTAAAGTGTAAAACCCTTTAAAAAGTGTAAAAGAAATCACACTGTTTATACATTTGTGATCCCAGAGCACTCTTTTCCTTCTTGATCCCATGTAATAAAACTACCACTTATTATGATGTGAGGAGAGGCTTCTACAACTAATGAATAATTATTCTTGTTTTGTTTACAAGTCCAAAAATACACTCACATCTTATTAAAACATATGGCTAGGCATTTTTTTTTTTTAAATCAGATTTTTCTTTCTCAACTCTCCCTTCACAATGTGTTAATAAAAAGAAATTCAATCTTTAAATAAAGGCAGCTATTCCATATGGAGCTATTCTCAGTTAAGGTAAGAGACATATTAAAAAACTAGTTGATGCTGAATCAACTCCAACTCGTCACCCCATGTGTCAAAGAAGAGCTGTGTTCCACAGGGTTTTCAGTGGCTGGTTTTTCAGAAGCAGATTGCCAGGCCTTCTTTCCAAGAAGCCTCTAAGTGCCACATTGTTGTCTGCTGCCATCAAGTTGGCCCTTGACTCATGGCGACCCTAGGCACAATGAATAGCTATGCATCAGACCACTGTGATCCACAGTTTTAACTGGCTGATTTTCAGAAGCATATCACTAGGCCTTTCTTCGTAGTCCATCTTAGTCTGGAAGCTCCACTGAAGACTGCTTGTTGTTGTTGTTATATGTCGTCGAGTCGGACCCGACTCACAGTGACCCCTCCTTGGGTTTCTGAGGCAGTATCACTAAGGAAGTAGATTGCCCAACCTTCCTTCCGAGGAGTGGCTGGTGGGCTTGAACCGCCAGCCTTCTGATTAGCAGTCAAGTGCCTTAGCACTATGCTACCAGGGCTCCTGAAGACTGCTTTGTATCATAATAATATCCAACTCACTAGTGCCAGATGGGTGGTGGCTGTGAACGAGGTATACTGGCTGGGAATTAAAACTGGGCTTCCTGCATGGAAGGCAGGAATTCCATCACTGAACCACCATCAATGCCCCAAGAGACACACTTATTTAAATTAAACACTTCCTTTAGTGGTCCAGAGAGAAAAGAATCCCCCTACTGCCCACTGGGGAGCTCTGGTAGCATAGTGGCTAAGGCACTTGACTGCTAACCAGAAGGCTGGCGGTTCAAACCCACCAGCCACTCCTTGGAAGGAAGGTTGGGTAATCCTACTTCCGTAGTGATACTGCCTCGGAAACCCAAGGAGGGGTCGCTATGAGTCGGGGCCGACTCGACGGCACATAACAACAACAACAACAACAACAACAACTGCCCACTGAAACTACACCTTCTTGAATCTTACAAGTGAAAGATAAAACAGTTCTGGTTACAAACTCCATCTTTTAAAAAATTTATTAGTAAAATGTATAAACCTTTAACAAAATAAATAAATAAAATATAAGACTGCATTTTCCAGTCATTAAAAGCTTTCAAATAACACCTGTAATCTACTTCTTGGCCTGGGCTGTACATTCTAAGGTTTTCACAATAGTTACCTATACCAACAACCCAACAAATCTTAACATCTCTCTCCTTGACCAAGTTCCTTGATTTTGTGTCTTAGACATCTCTTGATCAACATCTACTTTTCTCTACCTCCACTGCCCCACTGTCCTCCAGCTTCCATTATCCCTCTCTTAAATCAGCATCCTTACTGGTGTCCTAGGAAGTCCTAGCAGCCATTCTACACTCACTCTCATGCTGCACCCCAGGTGAGGATTTCTAAGTAAAAATGTGATGTTATCCACCCATTCAACCTTCCAATGGCTTCCTACTGCTTTCAGGATAACCACCAAAATTCTTAGTTAATGGGCCCATCAATTACCTGCCCTGCCTCACCTTACTCCACCTTCCACCTCATTTACAGCTTCCCAATCACATCAGCCAGCTGCTTTCTAGTTCCTAGAAGGCTCCATGCTCCCCAGGCTCATCCCAGGACATCTGTGTATAATGTTCTTTCTTCCTAAGATAATCTTTTTCTCCCCACTCCTAGTAAATTCTGTCAAAAACTTTCAAACATCACCTAATCATCCTTCTGCAATCCCTCCAAACTTCTCAGATATCCTTGTTAAACTCTCTTTACTCTACATCTCTTCCTCTTAGCACAGCCCCAACTTTATATTAATTGGACTTGTGGGCATTTTATTACCCTGTGTCACCTCCATAAGACCGTAAGTTTGATGGAGGCAAACACTGTCTCTCTTCACTCATGACTAATCTCCAGAGAGTACCTGAGTCTGGTGTGGAGTAGGCACTTAAGTGTCTGAGTAAATGGCAAAGAGTCAAAGGGTTTTTTTCCCCCTTCTCCTTCAATAATTAAAGCAAAAGAACAAGACAACTTTCTACAAAACAAATCTGTCTGTCCTCACCCGGCTGCTTATTTCTGCTTCTGCTGGGGAGAGAGGGATGGCTTCCGTAAATGGAACAAAGCAATCACAGAAATAAGAGATGTGTCTCTGAACACTTGATTACAGTACATTTTCGCATATAACATGCCCACATAAATAACGAGCACAAACATATACAGTGCATAGCATGCACAGGAAACACATGAAGGGGCTGTGCAGTTTGCAAGAGCTGTGTTAACACACATTATTTGTGTAAAAATAGGGTAGCTTAAACATGTTCTCAACTATTTAAATGCTATAATGGTGATTTTAGAAAATGAAATTCCCATTTAAATACTCCTCTAAGACCAATGCCTGCATTCATTACAGACATTTTTCTGGAGATGGGGGGTAATAAAAACAACTAAAAACAAAAAGTTCAAAGTGTTCTAAGCCATTGATACCAATCCTTGAAGCTTTTGGACTCTGAAGAGGTAAGTATACTTATCACACGGATCTGACAGATACCTGGCATAGATAAACCAGATTTATAATGTAGTAGAAATACATTCTTAGATAGGACTTCCTATGGGTAATACTGATAATATCTGCATACCTCACTCTAAACTGAGAACATAATTTCATTGTATTTACTTTCATATAGGACCTCAATGAGAAGGACTGACACAGTGGCTGCCACAATGGGCTCAGGTATAGCAAGGATTGTGATGCTGGTGCAGGACTGGGCAGTGTTTCATTCTGTGGTACAAAGGGTCTCTATGAGTCAGACCCGACTTGATGGCACCTAACAACAACAATTCTACCTCTTGTTTTTAGCAGGACATGAACTAACATCTCATCTTGTTCATAAACTAATAGTTACCAAGAGGACATTGGGAACCCTCATGCCAGCTCTTCCATGGGTGAGTCTTTGATCTGCCAAATTACTACCATATACCAGTAGGCACATGATTCTTTTGTAAGTGTGTGAGGGAGCAACCTTTACCATCAAGGGAGGAAACTTGATGATCATTAGAGACTCAGCTACTCCTTACAGGGTCAGAAATGGTTGACAAACATGCTGTTCCCTCCCTCTTCACCTGTGGCAAACATTGCTGGTCAGGCATCACTGCCTTTCCCATGAACCCAGATGAATGCTCTCATCACAGTGTTCTGGGCGGTCACCACTCACTTACTGAAGCTGGCATGGAATTTTTGCCTGTCAGCCAGTGCTAACATTTTAGATGCTATCACATGCTGCATATAAAGTATGAACTATTTGTAATATATGAGAAATGCAGGGTGAAGTGCTTGGGTCACCATTTGTTCTCTTTATAACCTACAGCTCTGAAATGTCTGCTAGGATCTTTTAATATAGGAACTAACCTGGGAAATGAAGTTATAGTGCAAAGAGCTTGATTTTCTTCTAATATAGAAGTAGCCTCCTTCCGACGTTTTCTCATGTTGTCCTCAACTGTGTTGAACTCAGACATTGTTCCTCCATAAGGCTGTCCAGGTGTCCCCTCAATCATGTAACTCCCATACTCTGGTCTCCAAAGGGTAGGATGGCTACAGGAGAGAAAATTTAAGTTTCATCTGATTCTTTTGCTACCATTTACTCAATTTTTAAATGTGTTTTAAAAGTGGCCTAAAACATTCAGAAACCATTAGGTAAACAAGCAGCTCTGTTGGGGCAGTGCCTAAGGCATTTGACTGCTAACCAGAAGGTTGGCAGGTCAAACCCACCAGCTGCTCTGCAGAAGGAAGATGGGGCAATCTACCTCTGATTTACCACCTTGAAAACCTAATGGGGGTCTCTATGAGTTGGAATTGACTCAATAGCAGTGGGTTTGGTTTGGTTTGGTTATTAGGTAAAAATGAAGCTTCCCAAAGGCTACTGATTTTCCATAGCTCCTCAACTATATAAGAGAAAGTAGTGGGTCCAAAATACTTATAAATAACTGACAATGCACAACATGGCATTCTCTGTCCAAGACAAGCCAATCCACTTTGCAGGAAAGAAGATAGAGCCTTAAGTATTCTTTCAGTTCAATGTCTGGATTCCAAACTCAAATGTGGTCTCCTCCAAATCTTGTGAGTGGCTGGGCCTGTGGAATACCAACTGGAGAGTATATTCCCTCTTCTCTTCTTTGTCTACTTAAATGAAGTAATATTTAAAAACATGGTAGCCAAACAAAGTCCATATGCAAGTTTTATTTGGCACCAGGGTTTGTGATCCCCAAAATGATTTGGCATTTTTTTTTTTAATGCTTAACAACAGCAAATAGGCTGTTTGAGTTTACTGCTCTAAGCGCTTTAATATATTAATGTGTTTAATACCAACCCTAAGAGGTACTACAGCAGATAGTGTTTCACTGCTATTCATACAGTTTTCACTGGCCAATTTTTTGAGAAACGAATGGCCCTTCCTTCTTCCAAGTCTGTCTTAGTCTGGAAGCTCCACTGAAACCTGTCCTCCATGGGTGACTCTGCAGGTGTCTGAAATACCACTATTGCAGCTTCCAGCCTCACAGCAATACACAAGCCACCACAGTACGACAAACTAACAGATAAGTGATGGTAGTACTGTTACTATCCCTATAATTCCAACAGTTTCAATAACACTAAAACAACCTTCAGTATGCCAGCTTACTTTGGGTTTGTCCTTTCCCCTTTTTCTTGTAGAGTTTCAAGAACTTTCTCTCCAGACAGGACCAACTGGACTTTTTTATTTTCATGATCAAAAGATACCAACATGTATTCCACCTAATGAAAACAAAGGAGAGACAGATTAACATTCTCCCAGACTCGTACTCAGCATGACCTTTAAAAGAAAAAGGCAAGGAAATGTGATGGTTGGAAAGGATCCATGAGTAAGTTGAGGCAGCTACAATTGCTTACATGAACATACATAATACTTATTTGCATAATACGAAAACCTATAGAAGGTGGTCGGTCAGTCAATAGTAATACTGTTTGAGGCTAAAAACTCTTATTCTTCAACTCCTTCTTTCCTTTATTCCACTTAATAACCAAAACCAAACCCACTGTCATCAAGTCGATTCTGACTCACAATAACCCTACACAACAGAAGAAAACTGCTCCAAAGATTGTAATCTTTATGGAAGCAGACTGCCACATCTTTTTCCCACAGAGCAGCTGGTAGGTTCGAACCACTGACCTCCTGGTCAGCAGCGTACCACCAGGGCTCCTTATTCTACTTAATATCCCACACAAAGGTCAAGATGCCCTTTTAGACAAATTGTACCTTCAAAAGAGATGTGTTTCACAGCAAAGATTCTGTAAATAGCAGTTCCAAAAAGAACCGACATTTTTAAATTTATTACATCAACTGGCTTAGTGTATGTTTAAGAAAGTAGTTATCTAGGCATTCTGGTCAAGGTAGATTATCCTTACTTACTGGCAGATTCTTTAATAATCCTAGCACAAATCCCACTAGAGTTAAACCATAATCATAAACATAAGAATGTGAAGTCATCTTAGGTTTTAGCAATTCAGTTTTGGTTTTCAAGAATAATTTAAGACAACTTCCCTTCCCTGAAAACATAAAATTTATAATTGTATTAGTGTGCCTAGCATTGTAACGACACTGAGTGGAATTCTGGTAAAAATCAAAAGTTAAATATCAAAGTAAGTCTTTTCTGAACACAGCACAACTAAAACCTGCTTTTGCTTTCCCTGAAATCACATGTTATAAATTATGACATTACTGTTTAGCTGCCTTCAAATTGGCCCAACTCATGGTGACCCCCATGCACAACAGAATGAAATGCTGTCCAGTTCTGCACCACCCTCATTATTGGTTGAGAATCAGAAGGTTGTGATCCACAGGGTTTCACTGGCTGATTTTCAGAAGTAGATTGTCAGGTCTTTCTAGTCCATCTTAAGTCTGAAAGCTCCACTGAAGCCTATTTAGCATCATAGCAACAGGCAAGCTTCCACTGACAGATGGGTGGTGGCCTGACGTGAGGTAGACTGGATGGCTATCAAACCCAGGTCTCTTGCATGGAAGGCAGGAATTTTACCACTGAACCACCAATGCCTCCTTAAATTACAATTCTGGGGTAAACAGTGAGGACTTTGAATTACTATTTGTGATTGAAATAAAAACATATATCATCCATAAGTGAAAAGGTATGGAATCGGATTATCCAGGCAAAACATTTGATAGAACCCTTTGCACAAGCCTGCCAAGAAGTTACTCTGGAGAAGAGATGGCAAGCTGCCACCCCAGAAGGCAAATTAGTCTGCAGATGTATTCTGTTTGGCCTGTAGTAGTTACTAAAAGGAAAAGAAAAAAAAAAAAAAAAGGCAAGCAACAGTATATCCACTATCTCCTTGACATTTTTACATAAATGGAGATTCCCACCTTAAAAAGCAAAAACAAATACCCAGAAGCCCAGCAGCATGAGGCTGTGTCTTATAGGGATGAGGAAGGCTGAGGAGTGAGCACTCTGGCCTACAGTGATCCTCACTCACCCGAGGGCAGCATAACTGCTACCACTTAAATGTACTAAGGCACTTGACTGCTAACCAGAAGGCTGGTGGTTCAAACCCACCAGTCACTCCTTGGAAGGAAGATGGGGCAATCTACTTCCGTAGTGATACTGCCTCGGAAACCCAAGAAGGCGTCGCTATGAGTTGGGTCCGACTCGACGGCACATAACAACAACAAAAACATACCTGCCTGGTTTTGGAAGGCATTTGGGTTAGCCACCCCTACAGCAAACTAATGTTTGAGAGATTGTTTTAGCGTTTAACTAAAAAATATAAAGAGGACAAAAAGTTACTAACCAAAGCAAACAACCAGGTGGTAGGCTTGAGCAACAACAAAAATATAAACTTTCATTTAATTTCTATTAGTTTTTTTCTTTTTTGAAAAAACTTTATTTTGATATGAGTGAAAATTTACAGAGCAAATCAGTTTTCCATTCAACAATTCATACACACTTTGTTTTCATGACATTGATTGCAATCCCCACAACATAACATCACTCTTCCTACTTCCTTCCTTGCTGCCCTTTTCCATTTATTCTTCCTTCCTATCCCTTCCTGCTCTAAATCATATCCCTGGGCAAAAGCTGTTCCTTTGATCTTCTATGGCCTATTGTTTTAAAGGGTGTGTACCTCCCTGGTGTTCCCGTTCACCTTACAGGTCTGTCTATTGCTTGCCTGAAAGTCGAACCACTAGGTTGTGTTCAGCTCCAGGCTTGAAGGGTAACTAAGGACCAAAATCTTGGGAGTTCTACCAGTTTCTATCCAGTAAACCTGGTCTTTATGATTTTAAATTTTGTTCCACATTTTTCTCCCGTTTTATCCAAGACCTTGTATTGATCCCCTTCAGAGCAGTTGGTAGTGGTAGCCAGATACCATCTAGTTCTTCTGGTCTTAAGATCAAGGAGGTTGAGGTCTGTATGGTCCACTAGTCCCTTTTAGACTATTTGTTTCCATGTGTCTTTAATTTTCTTCACTCATCTTTTCTTCAGACAGAGAACAGTGATTGCACCTTAGATGGTCACTCACTAGCTTTTAAGACTCCAGTAACTACTTACCATAGCAGGACGGAGAACACCATCTTTGTAAACTATGTCAACTGAGTGAGCTGTCTTGAGACCGTGGTCCTAAGTGCACACACCCAGTGATGTATGTATTATCCGAAGGTGTTTGGTTACAGCTAAGTTTTCATAACTTTGCCCCGACTGTTCTACTATATATGTGGATATATTTACATAACATTCAAATATGTATGTAGAAATATCCTCTGCCAAGTCTATATATAGTCGTGGGTTTTATTAGTTATCTTATTGATACAGGGCATAAGTTCCTATTCTTACTTCTTTATTAGAATTTTTTAGTTCAAGAAATGGTTAAGGCTACTTGATTTAGGCACATGAACCAGAAATATGAGATATGCACCTGTGTAACTGCTCAGTGTCAACCAATCAAGAACGACAGGTTGCAGAATCTGAAACTGCTCCTGACATCAGCTGTAGGTTGTCAGATAGCATCTATAGATTCATGACTCTTGAACAGCTAAAACTTGATAGAACAGAAAATTTTGTTAAGTCTCAGGACAAACATATAAAAAGAAGACTGATCATAAGTAAAGGAAACAAGTTTATTAACAGAAAAGGTAAGTCATGAACTTTTCACATATTGATTCCAATCTTCAAACTCATCATGCAAAGTAGGTATGATCACCCCATTTTACAGGTGGTGGACAAAGAGGCAGAGAAAGCTGCCCAAGGCCACAATGTTGATGGAGTGATGTAAACCCAGTCCTGCCTGGCCTCAAGGTCCACAATACTTTGCTTCCAGGACTAAAAATGAAGAACTACAAAAGGTGTAAGCTACAAGAGGCAGAAAAAGGTTATGTAATAACTGGCTACAAACTCTCAAATTGATTATGCCTCAATTTTATTAAGAGAGCTGGGATTATGTCACAGAAAGAGATATAGTTACAGATTTAAATAGTGAGTCAGCCCATCTCTTAGGCTAGGATGCTCTATGAAGCATTTCTACCTCTCTCAGCTAGAAGAAATCTTTCTCCTTCAGTCACAGGAGCCAAGACATCTTCCTGGCATTATCTGTTATTGGCATTATCTTCCTAACCAGATTAAAAAGCTCCTTCAAAGATGAAAGATGTTTCTTTGCTTACTCAGTTCCCCTCATGTACCTATTATCAAAATAAGCAGGAACTTTCATAGCAATTACATAAGCTAAATTACAGTGACTTTTGTTAATTTCCTAGAATTGAAATCCTCAATTTTCAAAATTGCTCTTAGCCCACAAGTTTCAAGTATGGGGTGTGCAAAAATGAATAAAATACTAAAATTTAAGGCCATTTTAAATATCACCCAAGTGGGTGACATTTGAAATGTTAACAAGCCGAAGTCTCTTTAATTAAAAAAATAATCATTCCATGATCTCATTAAGCAAATGAAAAAGAAAAACTTCATAGTATTTACTGAATAAGAAAGAAAATCAAACTCTGGATTAAATCTAAGTTCAGTTAGAAGCCTTAAGAATTCCCTGAACATTTTTCAAACTCAAATTTCAGGCCTTCTGAGGTCATCATCCTCTAGCCACCTTGATCTTTCTGTATCCTTCTTCCAAATGGCTTTTTAATCTCTTAGCTTTTTGTTATCTTATTTAATCTTTCCTCCTATCTTCAATACATGTATGTTTATTTCCAGTTCTAGTTCATAGAAGCACTCAAATAATTAACCAAATCTTTAAGAACCAAAAGACAGCTGACATGGGGTTTGGCTTAGTAACTTAGCTAGCGAGTGATAATAAAAGCAGTGATACATGAAGACAATGCTTTCTCAATATGAAACATCTAAAGCCACATGATTTATTATATCTGAATTTTTGTCCCTCATCTTAAACTTCCTTTTTTATCTAAAGGAGGAAAGAAACAGAAAAAATCTGAGAGAAGATAATGAACCAGAACATGGAGCCTCTTCTGGACCCTTAACACTGATTCCAAGGATTAAACTTATACAAGTTTCCTAACTTCAAATAGTATCTAGTCTATAAACTCATAGCTATAGCAACATCTCTCTTCATATACTGGCACCCATACATAATTCTAAAAGCTTAAACACAAAGTACATTATAAATGGGTTCCAGAGTGAATAATCTAGTGTATAATCAACATACAATTTTGGAAGTATTATTCTACAATTCCACAAATATTACTTAGTTCTACAATCAACACCAATGGAAGGAGCAGTAAAGAC